CACCGTTAACCACCATTGATCACCATTGATCACCGTTAACCACCATTAACCACCATGATACTGTGATAAAAGAAAACCGGGTTAGCATAGCATGCTAGGTGGCTAACAGCAATGCTAGCCGGTTTGAAGGACTCTCGGTGAGCGGCAGAAGGCGGGAGTGTCTTTCTTACCTGGAAGGTTTGCTCGTGAACAGGTGTGTCGAAGGTTTGCGCTGCTTCACGAACATTCAGAGCACAAAGGAGACCTGAAGCTGCTTTTCTTTATACTCACAATTCAAGAGTCACATGACTGTCATGTGACTCTGCAGTTTGGCGTTAAAGGGACAGTACACAGTGAATGATCACGTAGACTGAATACATATTATGTTTATACTCTTTTATTCGTAAATATTCACGACTAACGAAGCGTTCATTAACTAATCAAGGTAAAGGAAGGTAGTTTTATTTTATTTATTTCCTTTTTCAGATTTTTTAAATTGTATTTAAGTAAATATTGTACTTTTTACTTCACTACATTTAATTGATAACTTTAGTTTATTTCCAGAAAATACACACAAATACAACTTTATATAAAAAAGTATATTAAAAAATATACAAAATAAATTATGTGTGCCTTGTAATGTTGAGTTTAATTACTGTAACATAGGTGCTATTTTTATTTGATATACTTCTAATTATTGTTGCTGTTACTTTTCTTTACACCTGATGTTCTCCTCTGTGGATCAATACCAGTTTATCTGTTTAGTTTGAGAAACAAAGCTTTTTATTAATTACTGCCAAATCACATGTAACATTAAAAAGACATCAAAAGACCGTGAACACGTTAGGATGTGGAGGCCATGAATCAATCCCATACCACTAGAATCAATAGTTGACTAAGAGTGAAAACGTTTAAATGTAACTGTATGATGTATTTAAAGTAGTAACGATCTTAAGCATTTTTAATTACCTTTTTGTTGAAAGGAGAACACACAAATAAACTTTAACCGTAGAATAAAAAAATAAACAGTCAAATTCCCCATAAATGGTCCCATCAGTGCCTCTCAGCTGTATATTTTATTGACATATTATTTTCAGAACTTCTGTCTCTCTATCAAAATAAAATCACAAACGCTGCTGACCGTGGGAACACATTTATTTCTATTTTGTCTCATGTACAGAAAGAATCAATTTACAGTTTACAAACAGCTGACCAGGTTTATGAAGCAAATGATTTACTGCACAGGATGAAGGCCTACAGTTCCCTCCTCCCCCTCACCCTCGCGTGTATTTGTACCATCAGTTAAAAACTTTAACACGTCCTCTCTGTGATTCAGTTCTTGAGTAAATCTCTTGTCCACAAAAGAATCTACTGAGAAAACAGGTTCTCTCATGTCGAAACAAAAACAAGGAAGGAAAGCCACAATTGCACAACTCATAATAACAATATTAATATTAATTTGATATCTGGTCCCAAACAAACGTACATTTACAGCAGCGGACAGTTCAGTAGGAATCGTTTCATGGCGTCGTGGTTTTTCTTCAGACTTCACATCACATGTTTGTGCTGTAGGCTTATGAACAGCAAGCTAATGGTGGAAAGGACCAACGAGTCAGCACGACTTCTATACAGCCGTCGTTTCATAATCGACAAAAACAAAAGCACGGGTTGAGCTTTTATCTGCTGGATGACACGATCGCTTCACAGTCTGAGGCAGTGGTGACGCTAGAATCAGCGGGAGGAGCGTGTTGGTCAGTGTGTCGTCGTTGTAAACATTTACGACCGGAAGTGAATTTTTTTGTTAGAACTGGATTACGGGAAAATTCAGTGTATCTTCATGAAACCGAGTTCATTTTGGCAACACGATTCAATGCGTCAGTGCATCACTTTTCTTTTTTTTTTGTGCCAAACATCCTGGATCAATAATAAAAAAAGAGAAGATCATTAAAAACACCCTATTCTACATGTTACATGCACGAAGTTTACACCATAAAATCTCATATAGTTCATCGTACCATTTACAAGTTTGGTGAAAAAAGAGGATAGATACAATAAAACGTATAGATATTAAAGGACAGTTACAGCCAGTAGAGAAAAAAGTTGTCAGGTTATCGTTTGGCAGGCATGCTCCCCAGAGTGACGCGTGATGTTGCTCCCACAATGCAGTGTGCTTATTAGTGCCACGGTGACGCCTGGCTGCATGTTAAAGAGGGACCTGTATGCCTATCCCTCCATCCTATGTGAAAGAAGGCACTTACAGGAGAGAAGTGGTTCAGGCCCGGTCCGGAAAATAAACAACCCCCGTGGATGTCAGTAGAATATCAAACAGGGAAGTCTTCAAGTAAAGTGGTGTTTTGGCTGTTTAGGCTTACCCACGTTTTCTTGGCAATTAGAGGGGGAGGGGCTTTTGGGTGCCTTCTGATTACTTCATACATTCATATGCATGCAAAAACCTTTTTCTAAACCCAAAAAATTATCCTTTAAACATCTGGGAATCTATTTACACGACGGAAATCGCAGCGTCGACCAAAACGACGAGCAGGAGAGAAAAAAAAGGCAGAAAGTCCACGTTTTGGCAATAAATCAGCGACAATGAGGGATGACGGAAAGACTCAGAGAGACGATGCTCAACATTTCAAATCGTTACTATCTGATTAAGTAATCCGAACACATGAACATAGCACAGGAGGAAGTGCGTCCCCGAAGGAGCAAAATGCAAGTCGCACGTTGGATTTTAAGAGATTGCATTATCCGTTTACAGGGGCGCAAGAAAAATAATCACTACGACCGGTTTCCTACGTAGTCAAGCTTTGGGAAGCTGTTTCCTTTAAAGAAAACTTAATCTAGTTACAGTTTCGGGCAGGTGGAGACGTCTTCTACCATCTATGTGAGCATTGGTGTGTTTTAAGTCCAGGGAAGGAAATCGAATTCACCCACCAATCCCATAAAAAAGGTCATCCACTTCCAAAATGCTTGGTATCGATCAATCAATTATCAAATTATCAGCAAGTGCTTCCTTCTTATATTTTGCTCTATAAAATGGCTATTTCCACAGTCAGTGTGTGCGATGGCTCAGGCGATGGTTTTCAGTGATGTGATAGGTGTCAAGAGTTCACGATAAATTGGATACGATAGATCATCTCAGTGGGAACCAGGGAGAGTAACGGAGACAGTGAGACCACGAGAGAAATCACCTCACCAGGAACACAAAGGCCAAAACAACAACCTGAAAATGGAACCAGTGAAGCGTGGTTGTGCTTATTGTGATCTCTCTCTCTCTCTCGGTGAACAACATCTTCCTCCATGTTCGTTGTGGAAAGATGAAAGACTAAAAGTGTCTTCATTAGGTCCACACAACTCACTTCCTGGGGTGGAAGACCATGAGAGGCCTGTCTTCGATCTTCTGCCAGGGGCTCTTCTTGTTCTCGTCTTTGTCGTCGGGATCGTCCTCAGGACTGGTCATGGAGTCGCGGCGGTTCTCGCTGTTGCTGCTGCGGCTGCTGTTCACGCGACTGCGTCCTCTCCTGGGGATGGTGGACCCTCGGGAGGACGGACCCTCGTCCAGGAGAAGGGTGAGGGAGTTCTCCTCGGGGGAGACCGGGCGTCCCTCGCTGCTGCTGCTGGGCTCGGTGTGGTCGGGGTATGCCAGCTTGGAGTAGCACTTCCCACCGCTGCTGCCGACGCCGAGGCCCTTCCGTCCTCCCGTCCCCCAGCGCTCGTCTTTTCCCTTCCGGTTCATTCCCAACATGCGTTCTTGGGACTCCAGAGGCGGCTCAAGGTTGGAGTCTCGGCCGGCGCTGCTGGGGCCACCTAAGAATCCACCGCCACCGAGGTCATTCCCAGCATCTATGTAGGAGTGGCGCACATGAGCGTTGTTCCGTCCATCCAGGGAGATGAACCACGCCCTCGGGTGCTGCTTGACACCCAGCTCCAGTAGCTTCTTCTCCGTCAGAGCCTGCAGTTCCCCATTCATCTGAGCCATGGTGGAGTCGTTGAAGAGCACCGGGATGGTCATGGGTCCGCCAGAGGAATCAGACGCCCAGCTCGGATCCTCGGAGTCGTCCCCTTGGGATCCTCCGCCTTGCTGCTGGCCTTGTTTCTGGGAGTGGTGGTGGTGCTGGCCTCCTCCCATCTGTGCGCCGTCTTTATCTTGGTCCTTCTGGTCCTTGCCGTCTTTGGAGAACTCGGAGGGCAGGCGCATGTAGTGGGCCGGGATGACTAGGGTGGGCACCATGCTCCGGTACATGTTCTCCTTCATCTGGTCAATGGAGCTGCAGAAGATGATCTGACCTGGTTGGGTGTTGAGGGAGGTGGGTCTGGCCAGGCTGTCGGCAGCTGCTGCCGAATATTCTGGAGGTTTGTCACTCTGGTTCGGCACGTACCCTTGGAAGCGAGGCGGGGACGGGGGATCCGAGGAGTACCCTCGATTATCGTTGGCGCTGTGGTGTCGGTTGTAGTCTTCATGCAGCAAAGGGTTGTCCAGGTTGTTGGTCTCGGTGGCTCGCGTCACCTTCATGGGGAAGCTTTCGCCACGTTGGGGACCTGATGCGTTTTTCCCTTTCGCGTGTCGCAGCATGTGAGCTGGAACGTGCTTGGTTAGGTCCTCCCGTGAACTCTGGTAGTCTCGAGCTGGGGACATGTCAGATTTGTCGTTAGAGGGGCCGGACTCAGCGTGGCCTCCACAGATCAGATTCAGCCGTGAAGTGGACGTACCCTGGTCTCTCTTGGCACCATTTATATTTTGCGTGTGGGGTTTCCCTTGCTGGCGACGCGGTTTTAAACACTTTCGCCTAAAAAAAGGTAAACAGAAACTGAAGGTCAGAAATGAAAGAAGCACCTGTAATCTGCTGGGGATTATTAGTAGAGTCTAATCTGAAATCAAACCCACATTCACAGTTATAGGTATTTGCAATTATCATTACCAAAATCCCAGTTGTCATTTTTGCTATATTAATAGAAGCCTGAATGTGAGACCTGCGCCTACGCTCCCCACACCTGCAGTAGTAGAGCAGCACACAGAGCAGGATGAGCACCAGCAGGGCCAGCGAGCCCAGGATGGAGAGCAGGAACAGGGTGTGGTAGGTGGTGATGTCCCTCAGGCCTGGATGAGACAGACCCGATCCTGCAACACAAAACATGGCAGAAAGACGTCTGAGAATCAAGAATTATGTTAGTCCCTTTCTCAATACTTCCCTACCCTGTCTGTGCCTCAAGTCCATTGTTTCCTGTGTTTGAAAACAAGTTTCATGTTTAAGAGTCTAAACAGATGGTCACTTTTATTAAACAAACAGGAGGATATGGTGTATTTGATGGGGACTATTTTCAGTTGGTGTTCTAGTGAGTGTTTGTGGCAGCAGGACGGTGTAAATCATTTATGTGTTTTTTATGTTTTTGGACAAAAATGGAGCTCGATGGCACAGAGAACACACAACAACTTCTTCCAGTGACAACATTTCACACGTGATGCTTTTATCAACTTTTTGAGAATAGACTGATGCAAAAATGAGTCCTAAAATGCAGAAATGAGTCAGCACTTTTAGACTTCCTGTTCCCTCGTCTAGAAGTCAATGTGTTTCTTATGTGTTTTTGGTTAGATGTCTGAAATAATGTGTTTTACACAAGCTGAAGATATTTAAAAGTTGTGTTCTCTGATATAAAACAGGTCAGTAAATGTCCCTCTGGTGAATTTAGAAGCTTCTACGTGTCTTAAAAGGAGTCTAAATGAGACGACTAGACGTCCTCACTAGAACACTAGTCCTCCTTTAGCTTAGTGGAGGAGACGTGAAGTCATGTGACCGTGGTGGAGTTCCTTTATAGCCTGACGTTAGCTTTGTATTTTGCACTTCAAACATCATAAAAGTGGAGTTCATTAGTGGAGATTATCTTGATGAAATAAACGCGTAAGAAACATAAATGTTTAGAGTTTATATTCTGCAATAATCCAAAATCCAAAGAGAAAAAACCTCCAGTGAGACGCTAACTTCCTGTTAGTCATCCTTGCAGCATTCTTTATCACCAGATTAAATACTTCCAAGTACCAATTTTAATAACCTATTATGGACTTCTCTAAATTATGCAATATTTTATTACCGTCTGCCTTTGCTGTTTCCCCTGAGAGACATACAGGAACATCTGCTGACCCAGAGCAGCAACACTGCAGATTAATAACAGCACAAACAGCAGAGCGGAGGCGTGAAGATGAGCTACTGCACCTGAAGATGAAGGAAACGCAGCCAACCAGTATCCCATCTGAGGAACCACCACGTTCCACACAAACCGATGGCCGTCCGTCTTGATGTAGCCCGTCCCGTTCCGAACCCACAGTCCTGCAGAAATGTACGTTATCATCCCCGTTATTCACAAATAGCAAACAGAGGAATACCAAACACAAGAGCGTCTGACGTCCCGCTCTACGAGCTTCCCTCACCCGTCTTAGGCTGATACAGCCAAGCCGGCACACTGGTGGCCATCCTGTTGCGGGTGTCGGACGGCAGCGGCACAGAGATCTGGACCGGGTCGGAGACCTGGATCACACGGCCGTCTTTGTCAAAGAGCTGAACGCAGACCACAGCCAACGCTGTCAGGTCCATCCACCCTGTTTCTGCACCTGAAGAGAAGAAGACTTTTACATGTCTGAGAAACGTCTTCAGGTACTTGATGACTCAGGATTTTTGAGGACAATACATTCATTTTAATATATATGAAACACTCAGTATTTGCCTCTATAGTCAGAAGTAAAATTAGATTTCTGTCACTTATGAACCATCATTTAGTTGAATCACTTACAGGTGTAGCGTCGCATGACTGTAACGTTAAATAAAATGTAAACTTAGTGTAGCAAGTAGCATGCAGGGAATGATTTCAGACACCGTCAATATTGATATTTGAGAGAAAAAATATTCTTTTATATTTTTTGAAATAATTTTTTATTATTTCTTTATCAACAATTTTTTTTAGCAAGGATCCCTCAGGTAAGAGAAAGAAGAAAGATATATTTAACACCAAAATATAGGAAATAAATAAACTTAATTATATATATATATACCTTTCGCTAAAAACTAATGCAATCCTGCAATAAATCCATCCTTCATTAACCTCTTAATGATTTTGTTGAAACTGTTTTAGGGAGAAAAAAGAAGCTCACTATTGTCTAAAGTATGACTGTATGCTGAAGCACTGTAACATCTGCCCTACAGATGAACAACAGCCTCTTGGCTAACTGGTGCATTCACAGGAATGTTTTATTAATGTGCACTATGCCGATACCAAATAAAGCAATACATAAATCAACATTTCCCTCTAATAGAAACACACGTCCCAGACAGCGGATGATTCCTCGACGCCCCACCTGAGCTGTTGGTCTCTTGGCCCAGGAGAAACGGGAAGCCGCCGATCTCATACTGCGTCCGGGCCGTGGTCAGCGTGGCGGAGAGCGCCGTGTAGTTGGAGTCGGACGGCAGCTGAAGAGACTTCCTCTGCAGCTGCAACAGCGGCTGGTTACGAGCTCCTGCAGAGAAAACAATCGGTGAAATCCTGCAGCCTGCTCGTGTCCTAATAACTCTCAACATGTGTCCTCATACTGATACAGGAGCTGAGCTGATGTTTGCAGAGAAAACAAACTACCCGGCTGCAGCAGGTTGCCATCGTGACAGCAGCAGCAAATAACGCGGGGTCATCTAAATGTTAAGCAGTGAAATCTGTGGAGGCCTGAATAGACACAGGAGAGGGGGAGGAGAGGGGAGGGAATCTATCCTCCCTCTCTCTCTCTCTCCCTCTCTCTCTCTCTCTCTCTGCTGGAGACGAACTAATTTAAGACGTGATGACAGGATAACTGTTGACGGGTCAAACTGACCCTCCCAAGACCCAAAAATAGGACAACGGTTACCCAACAGGTCTAACTCTTGATACATTGCCCTTTGTGATTTACCGTTTTTAAAGAATTGGACTCATAAATTGCGTCTCAGCTCTTTGGACTAAGCTGATAATGGCTCATGAATCCAGGGCTGTGACAGGATAAGTGAGCATGCATGACTTATGATCACATATTCGGGTTCAAATGTTTTTTGTTTTCTTTACCTGGCGACCCAGACAGCACCTGCAGGAAGTCATCGTACAGGATGAGAGTTCCCGGCCTCTGGACCAGCAGGTACAGGCTGACTGATGCATACACTTCAAAACAAACACAGCAGACTTCAGACAAGCATCAAGGTAACGTTCAGATTCTTCTTTCATCTAAAGTATTTGACTTAACTGAATGATAAAGAGCACAAAATGAAAGTGGAACATGTGGTCATTGTTACTTACAGGGCTGAGTTAAACAGTTAATAATAAGTTGATCATTTTACTTTATTAAACTATTGTAATGCTACTTCCAATCGATCAGCATTCAGATCAATGAGATGAGTTTCTCTGTTATCAATAACCGCGTTACAATACGAAGGTATGGCCTTGAATTATATATAATCATTTTGTTTGTATTTGTCTTTGTTGGTTTTTAGTTTGAAGGAAGACAAACGTGTTATAAAAGAAGACATCAGAGGAACTACTTCCCATCTGTATACAATACAATAATTCAGATGATATAATTAATCAGATAGATGCGACCTGGATAAGCAGCAGAAAAACATTAAAAATTATGAATTCATTTCAAATTTTGCAAAAATAAACACTTGATGAAGAGCTAGTGTTTGCTGCAGGTCTGATGTCGATCACTAAAACTCCACAGAGGATTAAAAACAGCCTCCTGCAGCACAAACTACTCTTAGTTTATATCTGTATAACATCTACTAACAGCCTGCGATCACTGATAACAACATTACATCTCAGACCTTTGAAGCCCTGCAGATGCAGTTTGATGAGAGACTATAGCTGCACAGCCAGCCAATGAGACGACTGACACCGTCCTGTTAACGGGCAGATTTTACAGCTCGACAGAGTCGTCAGAAGGAAGATGCTCTTCACGCTCAGTAAAGAAATGAACTTACGGGGGATGCGGCTGGAGTGCCAGGGCACGGAGTTGGTGACGTAGTCTTGTTTGGAGGCCGTGATGATTACCCATGATCCCGTGCGGTACAGGAAGCTGACTCTCAGGACGCCATCGCTGCCGGCCCTGCTGGACGCCAAGACGGTCTGGTTACCGTGGACTTCCACCTCAGCGTCCGCCAGCGGAGACAGGTCGCTGTTGTCGAACACCTGGACTTTAATCTGCACCTCTGGGATAAAACACACAACGACAGAGCGGCTCGGTAAATGTCCAGAGAGCTGAAACAATGAGGGATTCACCAACCACAGCGGATCATCATCAATAGAACACATCGGCAAAGTCTCAAATGTGGCAAGTTGGAACCGGTGAACGATCTGTTTTGCCTCACTAAAGACTTTGTGTTTCTTTGGGTGAATCCTTTACAGTAAACAAACAGTATTTTTTGTTGAATTCAATGGAAGAAGACTCTGTGTAGTCAGATAATAAGGTAGAATTAAAGCAGTAATAACCCTCATATATGGCTCAATATATCAAGTCGCCCGTCGCTGTCTAACGGGGACGAATTGATTATGCAGAAGTGCAAAGATTCAACTAAAACGACCTTCAATGTGAAGAGGATTTAGCATGAACAGCAGCTGAACACAGACGTAGACCAGAGGACACCGTGGACTCTGTCTCCTATACAGTATATACAGTATATGTGTGTGTGTGTGTGTGTGTGTGTGTGTGTGTGTCCGCAAGTTTGCAACACAGGACATGATGTTTTTTTGGGTCTTTTTCTTCAGGTGACTTTAAGCACATCTATGGACGTTTCTGTAAGATGGACCTCGGAGATAATGACATCTTCAGAAAGTGAAAGTCACACTGAATCTAAGAACGCACGCATCTCGTCTTTGTGTTCAGATGTGAGTTGTGAATTCTGACGCAAACTGCTGCAGTCAGGTGCAAAGGGTTTGAAACGACAGGAACTAACTTTTCTGTTTAGAGCACCTGCATGTCCCGTTCACCTCCCTCAGTGTCTCCCCCTCATGCTGACCCTCTGCTGCAGACTAACCCCCCCAGCCCTGGTGGATTATGACCATGATGATATGTGTAAGTCATCTCAGAGACACGCCCGACACAAATCCATCGCCTGTTTCATCCTCCCATGTTTTTCAGCCCCAGAACATTTTGTTTCCCATCTTGGACAAGCGTTGATGTGGGTCACACTTGGGGCGGGGGGGGGGGGGGGGGGGGGGGGGGGGGGTGTTTCCATGGATACAAGCTGACTCTCCAAAGAAAGCTGGCTCAGGCTCTGCAGCATGACGAGCTGTCGCCATCTTAACCCTCCGGGCCTCTCGTGACAAACCCCTCCATGCAGAACTTCACTCAGTCTCACTAATGGCTGCACTCACATCATAAACGACATGTATGTGTGTGTGTGTGTGTGTGTGTGTAAATGCTGTCATGCATTACCATAATTGGTTGAATAAAGGCTCCCTTGTGTGTGTGTGTGTGTGTGTGGAGAGAGGATTTCCTCAGTCTGGGCTTGAAGCAGCTCCATTGACAGAAACACAGAGTCACAGTGACACATGAAGAGACTGAGGAGTCCTCACTCAGAGTGCTTCACTGTACATCCCGTGGAGCGTAAACGCTCCGCAGATGCAGTTCAAACACGTCTGTGAATCCTCATAATGTAAATATCAAGGTGTCCACCTCCCACTCAATTAGTCGTCTCTGGTAAACACAAGGTCTAAAGTGGTGTTTCTGTGTGACTCTGCATATAGACTGTCAACGAGAAGTCACCGTGATGTCACCGTGACATCACCCACTGGCTTTAAGACACGACTTCGGCATTTTGGCCGCCGCCATCTTGGTTTTTTTAGGCAACCAGAAGAGACACGAGAGGGTGGAGCTAACTACAACCGAACACTGCACAAGACATTCCAGGCAAAAAGGTTACAGTTGACTTTCATGAAGTGAAAACACTCTGAAAGAGTTAAAGTTGAGCTGAAAACTCAACTATTTTAGCCGATTGATTTTCTGTTGACTGGCGGATGAACAGACGCCGTCGAGCTAAACTGCAGATTGGTTCAGAGGATAACTGCTTCACTCGCTCAGGAGACTTTTCCAAAACACCTCCGAGGTATCAATTAACCGAGGATGTAATAGGTACGAGCAGCTGGGGAGCAAAAGATCTATTCAGACTTCATCTGAAGGAGGTTCTAACAGACAGACAGAGGACAGACATACTGCATTACCTGAAGAAGAGTACTTTGAATGCTTCTCAGGTGAAAGTGCTACCAGCTCAATGTAGTAAGAGCATCAAGAAGAAGAGTACGCACTTGTTCTTTATCATTAGATGTTCTTTATTATGAATGTTTTAGCAGTGTGTTTATGTGCCAGTTAGGAACTTCAAATACGTTTTGTCGTTCAATCTTTATACTGCAACGCAAAACTACTCCATTACAGGTAACAGTCCATCACATCTTAACTGCTTTGTATCGTGTGGTATTGTTGGTTGACGTTATGTTTCCTGTGTACCTGTAGAAGAACCACAGTGATAGAAGTAGAAAGTACAATGTGTCCCTTTAATAGTAGAAGTACACAGTAACTCAAAGTGAAAAGGTACAAGTAGAGTAAATGTACTTCGTTACAGTCCAGCACTGAGACCATCCATGCAGCTCAACATAGCTTGAAGCATGAATAATGAAGCAGTAATTGCATCATGTCCTCCACAATGAACCCAATATAAACTGCTGCGTCCATATTCATGTGTGTTGTTATTTATTCATGCAGCGTGTATTTGTTTGCGAGCTCTCTGCAGACACGTTCGCACACACGAGCCTCCATTGTTGTGCAGAAGCAGACGCAGACACGCGGGCCTGCAGACTAAAGGCCTGCAACACACTCAGTATCACAGCATGAAGCGCGAGCATGAAGCACGAGCGTGACATCACCTCACAGATATTATAGAATGTGAAATAACATCACACGGAGCGGACCCCCCCAGAAGCCCCTCTCCTCTCGGGCTACACTGTATCACATCAGCGGTGCGGAGACATTTTCGTGTCGACAAAAGCCATAAAAAAGCAACCACTCCCATCCCCTCTCATTGTGCTGCATGCACCCCCCCACGCTACCCACGCTACCCCCCACGCTTACCGACTGCTGCCGGATCTGGAAGCGATTTGGCCGCGCAGATCGACACGAAGAGGAGCAAACGAGAGATGTAGCTGGCCGGCATCCTCGCAAACTACATCTCTAGTCCCAGCTCGGCGGCCATGAGTCCATGTCTCCTCACAGCTTTGAGCTCGAGCTCCGAGATGCTGCCGCCGCCCGTCGGTCTGCGGGTGTGTGTGTGTGTGTGTGTGTGTGTGTGGGGGGGGGGGGCTTCTCCTTGTTTTTATTGTCTGAGGCTGGAAGAGGAAGAACGGTTCCCTCTGCTGAGCTCCAGCGGAACAGCGACTTGTTCCTCTGATATGAACGTTTACAGAGACAGACCATGATGTAATGTACAGTACCACAGCGTACAAATACTCCGTTACAAGTAAGAATAAATAAATAAAAAGTCCTGCATTCCAAACTCTAGCTACTACAGAAGTATTTGCATAAATATATTTAAAGTACTAAAAGTAAAAGTACTCATTATGTAGAATGGTACATTTCAGAACAATATATATATATATATATATATATATATTATATTATTGGATTATAGTTATTGATGCATTAATGTATTCATCACTTTAATATGGCAATGTTTAATTCAGATATTTTTACTTCAATATACATACATATACTGTATATACATGATCTATCTATATGATCTATCATATTGATATATTATATGTAAATTAGATATTTATAACTTTTGCTGATGTAAATAAAATCATGTAAAATGTACATTTTTATAAATTTTTGCTTTACTGTTAGTCTTTAAACTTTGATGAATTATTATTATTACAACAATCATAATACTTATAATACTTATATACTTATTATTATTATTATCTTTGTTTCTTTTAACAATCTTTTAATCCTTTCAGTGTGATATGAATATCCAGTACTGGAGGAATCTTAAGCTATTTCTACCTTCTTCTGCACAATGTTCAAACTTATTCTCAATTTCTTTGCGTCTAAATGTGCCAATGAAAAGATACTAAAAATGTAATATTTTTGTATTTATGCAGCACTTTTAAAAGAACAAAGCCTGCAAAGTGCATAGAAACAAACGATGATAAATAAATGTAGACCGTGTGATGACCCCTCCCCTCCACTAGGGGTCTGTGTCCTGTTCGCAGTCTTCAGGATGTTGCTCGGCAGCTGATGATGCTGACATCACTGATTACTGACTCTCCATGTTTGTTCAGTTCATGTTATCCTGGAAATAAATGAGTTTATTTATTACTGTCTCCCATTATTGTTGCAGCCTTCGAGCCGGATTTTAACAATAATTCAAAAGTGAAACAACATTGAGCCAAGAAGCAACATAAAACAAATGAAACATATACTTGTGGAGCATTTAGTATTTTGAGCGGGATCCTATGAAGTTAAATGTATTCCCTCTGAGTCTGCTTCTCTCATCAGAGCTGAAGCTCCGACAGAAGAGCCGAGTCCTGGACGGCTGCAGCAGCTGGTCCTCATATTCATGATGGTGGGCCTTTCTTAAATTAAAACGTCGTATTGCACGTATAAGTATTTCATTCCTGGCAATATGGAGAGGTGTTTGCAGATTTATCGTTCTGAAGGAAAGTGGTGCACGTAGCTCACAGGTATTTCTATATTCAGGACAGAAATCCACTCCGTGAGAGGCGGCTAAGTCTGAGAACGAGCTGCTAGACTCAAACACAAGGAGAAAATGTAATCTGGTCGCACTCCAAACTCACCTTTTTAGCATTTATAAACACTTAATAAAAGCTTTTCACATGTTATAATCATATATTTAAAGCCACTCGTACTTTTACAACACATCATGCTTTTAATGTTTTCTAGAAGAGTCTGTACTGAACATCACTATAACATCAACATGCTAACATGCTAATGTTTAGCAGTTCAATGTATCTCGTACAGTTAAAGTTACTCCTCATTTGTTGTACGTTTTTCTATGAAAGTCCAGCAACGCGTGTCAATTTCTGCTCGTTACATTAATACAGTCTGTTCAAAATAAACTTCAGTCTTCACAGGAAAGAACTTAGTTAGGTTTAGGCAACAAAACTTAGTTAGGAAAAGATGGCGAAGTCCTGTTTCCAGGTCGCATGGTGGTGAGGAGGATGTGTGGTTCAGGCTCCGTCTGTTTGACGACACCTGGAAGCTGTTTGATGGACGCATCTCTTTCATATATGTTCACATGTATAATTTGTCTACGTTGTAATTTTGTCAAATGTTTGTTTATTCTGTACTCACGATATCTATATCGAATGCCGACCTGGAAGAGGATCATTCCTCTGTTCCTCTTCTTCAGGTTTATTGGTGAAAAATTGACCAATCAAATCACGTCTGAAAGCTTTTGGAAACTATTGTTTTATCATAGATTTGTTTTCACAAATTTTAGGGGGTCGAGTGGACAAAACTACTTTTAAAAATACTTTCTACAATAAACAATGGGACCAGCAGTATTTTGAGAAAACTTTATCAAAGTTAGAGTGGGATGAGACACAACCTCTCAGACTCGTTTTAATGTCTTCATAAAGAAAGATGGCTTTAGGAACTTAGCCAGCGTAGAACAAATTAAGTAAGATTAAAGCTGCCGCTGACAGATTTAAGTAGATATACATGTATAGAAGATTAAACGCATAATTCAAAGGATGTCTGTGTATGACATTCCTCAGCACTCAGATCAGGAAGAGACCTCGAACCAGCAGGAGAGGACAGAGATTTTGGAAACTCCCTCCGAGAACAATAAGCAGATGATCTTCACATGAAGTTTTTACTTCATGTGGAAAATATCCTGATGTGATGATGATTGAGAAAATCAAAATCATGTTGAGCAACGGACAGCAGAAATATGGCATGTATTAAAGACGGCAAACATTTAGTTTTTAACGTCCTGTAAGGAAAGTACTCTGGAATTCTAACTGATGTTATTATAAACTTTCATCAGAAGCAGGCGGTTGGTTCAGAGAGGATGAGAGCAGAGTCATCCAAAGAGACACTCCTATATGGAAGAAAAAACATGACAAAATAATTCACACTTATATGACCAATGACATAATTAATGTTGAGATTTAGATTCCTCTAAAAGGTATATCACTGGAATATTTAGACTTTGAAAAACATCTGTTGTTTAAATTCTCCCGTTTGAGATTTTCAGAAAGCCTTTTCACCTCCGTTTTATAATGTTTTTGGGTATTTTTAAACACAAACAACTTCCAGACCGGACAATGCAGCTGTAACCACCTGTCAATCACTGTGAGGCCCCGCCCTAAAGCATCCCCTGCTTTATGGTCTGTTTGACTCTAA